AAGATAAGGAATCGAGTATGTATGATGAACTGCATACAACAGTTAGCATCACAGTACTCTAAGGAAAAACTGCGCACATTCGTGAAAAATCACTTCGCTAAATTTTATAACGTGCTCAGTTTCAGAATAACTGTGCTTTAGCGGCCTTTATAAGAGAAAAAGATATTTTTCCAATTCTGTTGATATATCTGGTAACATTTAAGGATCCAGTCTCAAGCTTAAGACCACATACTCTGGAACAAAAGTCTGTTTCCTCGACCTTGACACACAGTGTCATAATGGTATTTGCACATTCGATGTGTATGATAAAATTTTGGACTATCCCTTTACAGTAAACCAAGGCGGTTTTCCAGATAATAAAATTGACCATGCTGTTCACGAAGGAGTAATCATTTTTCAACGTTTACGTTATACGCAAATCTGTATGCTATACTTGATCGATTTCTTTGGTGGTCCCGACGTCTCATTAATTTATATCATCAGCGAGCTTTTGATATTACAATAACAGAACGCTCTGTACCAAACTTCTATTTCCGACACCGTAACAGCCTTTTCAAATTCTTTTATCGCGACGATATGGCACCTACTACTTTATTAAAAACGACAGTTACTAGGTGCTATCTAATATGTTAAATAAATGAGTTTAGTTTCATAACCAATATTCTCTGTAACACATAATGGAACCTGTATCGAAGAAAAGCAAACCGGAAAACTACATCTTCCAACTAAGAAAAGCTGATATATATTTAAATAATCTTTTTTATTAAAAAACTGGTTGATCAGTGTCTCATTTGGCTCACGAAATTACTTCTTCAAGTCATTATTTCCTCTTACTTTCTTGCATACAGCCTCTATAATTCTACTCTCATCTACACTCTTTTCACCTCTTCTCTCTAACTCTTATTTTCACGCTTATGTTATGTCTTTATCATACATGGCGAGTTGGAGACCGTACTGATCATTCCCGTTTCAACTCACATCAGACGTTCTGTCTGTGTCTACAGCTAAGAAATGAAACACAGACAGCAAACTTACGTGTACCCTACAATATGTAATTTTCAAACCATCTTACTAGACATCTATTTTGCTAAAGTGCTTGCAAAGCTCCCTCTTCGAGGATAAGCTCTCGATATGCTCCGTGGCAATCTACCAATGGGAATAGATTGCTGGCCGACTGAATACACCTAAAAACCTAACTTGGAAAGTGGTGCATAAAGCACTGTGGCATCCCGCCACCCGCAGTAAATTAAGGTCTTCTTCTACTCTAAACGTGATTTCTCGACGGAAAAAAAAAAAGATTCCCAAAAATTACTGCTTCCCAGTCACAAGTAAACGTAAATTAGAAGTGACAGGCGTCTAATTTAAACAGTTTACAAGAACCACAAAGCGTTTTTGCACTCCATAACAAGTGCAGATCTGCATCACAGCAAATATTTTCAGCTTGCTAGAAACCCACATAAGAACTGATAAAGTATCACAACTCGTTTGATGCATGCTGCTGTAGAAGCTGTGACTAAAAAGGAAATCTGCTAGGCTCACTCCGTGATGCCTGCTCTCTTTGCATTACTTCGTGACGTACTATGTCTTCACGCTAAAATATTTCTGCTAGTGATGAAAAAAAGAAAATTGACATTAAGGTAATCCTTTTTTTAAAGGATTCATAAATTAGAGAATTTTATTTCCTCTAAACTACCCCATCCACAAAATTTTAGTCTTTCCAAAAAAAGGTCAACAAACCTCCATGTAAAGTCGGGTATATTCTATAACGAATATTCCACAATCATTGCTGTTAGTTTGTTTTGTCGCTTCTTCAAAGCGCATATTCACCGGCACCGACAAATAAGCTGCCAAAATTCTTGCAAGCTATAAAACGTAATAAAAAGCTGACTGCACTGATGAGCAAATCTGAGGAACTTTCGGACAGTAATAAAGGCGTCGGAGGCCAATTAGGAGCAATTACAAAAACTCGGCTCGGCTTGGCCGGTGTCATACACGATCTGCGAGGAATTTTTTCTGCCGATGGCTGATAAGGCTGCTCCATGGTGAATGAC